CCAACTCACTCACTCTTCTAGATAGTCAGTGGCTGTTATTGTCATCTTTCATTCCTGCCGGGTACCCACACTACGACTAGAGATGAGTTGTGGCTGAAATATTGTTCAAATCAGCGTAGAACTCTCTCCTGCGACAAGGATCGGAGGGTGAATACTTCACAGCCTTGACATATAAATCCCTTTCTTATGTATATTAACAACAATGTTTTAACATACGTTGTCTGTCAGTGAAACATGCTACTCTAAAGGTAGCAGCAACATTCGATAATAAATTATTATTTACCTCACTTGTCAAACGATACTCCCTAAGTAGAAAACCTTAAAGTGGTAAAAAACATATGTAGATAATTTATTTTGGTCCCGGCAAGTTCACTATATAATTCACAATATTATTATTTTATATCTGGTAAGTATAACCGTTTAAGTAGAAACACCTGTTGCCTAGATACATTTGATTGGTCCTCAGGGACATGTTACATAGTAAAATGACTTGATAAGTAGAATAGCAGTCAGTGCGGTTGTAAACGCACAACTGACTGAACCGTCACTAGTCAACTGAATAATTAACAACAATTGGAAGTGCTATTACCCCGAAGCTAACTTCCCTATTATTAATCCCTAATCCTTAATGAAATAACTTTCAGTTCATCTCGCTAAATGAGCTGTTGTGACGAGACGAGATAATAATATCAAAGGTGTGCCCTGGAGAAGGGATGATGAAACTGTATTTAACGCTGATTTAGGATAAGATTGAACAGATTGTAAACCTCGTGGCTATTATTTTCGTTTTTGTGTCTCATATCAGTGAGTGAGCAGTATTCTAGTTATATCGCGGCGTGTCAGCTTAATGTGGGAGGAAAGCCCGAAGTGATGCAGGTCTCAGACGTTTACCACTTCAGTGAAACCCACGAGCACGGATATGGTGCTGACAAACCTAGAAACATAATCGGGCCGAACCGGGATTCGTACCCACGATCATAGATTCCTGGCGTGCCCAAGGGACACAACTCAGCGCGATGCCTCATGCATCTATGAAGAATATGTCACTTATATCGCAACCAAAACTGACACGCATCTCACAGATTTTGACCATGCATTTAAACAAACCGTTTCTGTTGCTGATAAAACCAGGACGAAAACAGGACCGAATATGAGATTCAAACTGCGACAAACGGATCCTGGTACCTAAGGACGCAACTCTGCACGTCAAGCTTTTACGCCTTCGACCAAGGCTCGGCACAATTAAACGGATTCAACTCTGAACAGCGAATTGCGGCGCCTTAGACGACTGGGCCACCCGTGCCCCCGTGTCTCATATCAATGTACGAGTGTGTAACAATGTATACCGACTGTGAGATAGAAGATTCAATAACGACACGTAAGTCGTAGTTGGTTAACTAGAAAATCTGTTAAGTAGAGAATTTTCCCAGGTTCCTTCTTTTTCAAGGGGCGGTCGGGTAGCCTGGTGGTTAAAGCGTTCTCTCGTCACGCCAAAGACCCGGGTTCGATTCACAATGTGTGAAGCCCATGTCTGGTGTCCCCGGTCGTGATATTGCTGGAATATCGCTAAAAGCGGCGTAAAACAATACTCATTCACTTTTTTTCTCTCAGGGCGTCACTGCATGTGCGGATATCACTTTGGAGCGGACGTGCCCTCTATAACTATATATTGCCAGCGGGCCTTCAGATAAATCAGACACATGAAACGAGTGTCAGCACACTGGAAACCATTACCAGGAGATATTATTGAAACGAGAGCGGGCAATTAACTGTCACTGACACTTTGAGCTCGCGGGGTCTCGGGTGTCCGGCAGGGTGCGGAGTTGCTTCCCTTGGCCGTGCAGGATACGAACATCTTGTGTTTGAATCCTAGAGCAGGGATCCTTGCGTTGTCCACATCATACCCCTGCTCGTGACGCGCTAGGCATCCAATCTCCGAACCTTTTAAGTCGCCTCTTACTTAAGGTTCTTGGGCATGGATTCTAACCCAGAACTTGTGGTTCTGGTAAGACTGAGTTTTTTATCAGTAAAAACAGTGTTCCAGTATGTCACGGCGTGTCTGTTAAATATGGGAGGAAAGCCCGAAGAGAAGCAGGTCTCAGACGTTTACCACTTTGGCAAAACCCACAAGCACGGGTTGGTGTTGGCAAACATAATAGGGAGATTGGGGATTCGAGCCCACAATCATAGGTTTCTGGTTTGCTCAGAAAAAAACACAACTCTGCACAGCGAGCTGCGGCGTCTTAGACGACTAGGCCACCCGTGTCCCCGATCACACTGTTGGCGAATGTAGTTTATTGTTTTATTTCAACTTGTCTCGTACTGCTGGTCGATATTATGCATGGCCCTTCCCGTGACTCCTTATTGATAAAGGATGTTCAACCATAAGCTAGCCATGCCCTTAACCCTATCCTTTTCTGTTTCACATGATCTTTTCATTTATCAACCTATCAAGAAGCTTGTATCGTTAACAACATTAGCCCCGATAATTGACTGCCCATACACCCCTCTCCACACACACACACACTCTCTCTCTCTCTCTCTCTCTCTCTCTCTCACACACACAGATGTATACCCCCCCCACCTTTCTCTCTCTCTCTCTCTCTCTCACACACACACACACAGAGATGTATACACCTACCCCCTCTCTCTCTCTCTCTCTCTCTCTCTCTCTCTCTCTCTCTCTCTCTCTCTCTCTCACACACACACACACACACACACACACACACACACACACACACACACACCTCCTCCTCGTGACCGGCCTTACACTAGTGGTCAAGTTCCCCGTTGCTAACGCATACACGGACAAACAATGAGTAAATCAAGTTAAGAACCTAATCGCTCTGGCGATTATGTCGACTTAATGTAATCTCCAAGCACAATAAAACACCATTGAGATGAGCAGTTGCTTTTCCGCCAAAACTGAACACACTAATAACACCAAACTGTTACGCTACACAGGGCCTCGATTATTACTTATAACAGATTATCAGGAACTAACGTGCATCAATCTAAATTAATATAAATGTGTACGAAATTCACAATTGATTTTGTATCCTAAGAATTATAGGACAATACCCGTGAATGCTTACCAGGTAACGCACATCCGAAGACACCTGTAAGGTCGTATGTGGTGGACACAGAGACAATATGTATTAGTTACGTGAATGGGTATAGTGTATAGTTTGTAGAATGATTTATAAGAAAGGGGGTAGCGGCATAGCACCTTGGCTGACTCTACTGTGTTATTATCTCGCGGTGTGAACTAGTGCTGTTGTTCCGGTTACTTGAACCAAGATGCCGACCCTATTTCTTAATTGACTTTGTTCAAATGACTTAAACATGACAAACACATGACACATCCGTGTGACAAATACATGACTCAAACACAACTAATACATGACAACCGCATGACCAATATAACCCTATACGAAACGTAAATTGTTTTTAAGGATTATTTAAGGAACAGATTTAAATAATTGCCAATTGTTTAAATCTAAAAAGTGCATGTTTATTTGCAAATCTTAAATTAACATTTGAAGGTGAGACTTACAAACTTAAATCTGATAGAAATACCAAAAATATTAAACCTTGTCATAACGACGCTTTGTATGCTTTTTTACTAAGATATTTTTCAAGAGTTTATTTCAATATATTATAAATGTAACGGTGAGACTCAAATAAATTATATGTCTGTCTGTCTGTCTATATGTCAGATTAATATTCATAAGTATCAATATTTTTTAATAATATTAAAAACAGTGGAAGGTTCGGCATCGCTTACTATATATTTTCAGAATAAATAACCATTTATTTCAACTTTACCCTGTATTGACGTTCTGACGAAACGACATTTATTATTATTTACAACGTAACATTCATATTGAAATACTGAAAACGAAATCGATTTCCTGGTGACATGTTTTGTAACTCGCAATGGCAACTGATGTTTGACTACCCTTTCTGTTGCATCCTCTGGTTCTCTGCCTTTATACAATACCTGCTACGACAGCAGAAACACACAGCATGTGGGTGTCCATCATAACGTGGGCATTTCTCAAAAGGAGATTCATATCACATGTTGATATTTCCAAACATAAACAGAAGAACGGATACTTGAAACTGATGGAGGGGTGTGCTTCATCTTTTTCCAGGTGTTTTTTTATGGCCCCCGTGACTTTGAGTTAACAAGGTATCATTGTAGAAAAAATTGTTAACACAGAAATACACGCTAAAGAAATCATCGTCAAAAGCAGAAATATGCATTGCGACATCCAACGCACACTATTGGTATAAGCACAAATATTAATTCATATATACCATATTATTTACCATATATTTTCGGGGAAGACTTCTATACCCCCGACCCCACCCACCCGACCTGTTTAATTAGCTGTAAATAAGAAAGTTAAGTGGGGAGGGAGGGGGGGGGGGGGGGGGGGGGGACGTCGGTGCAATAGTCTTACAAAGGGTCCCTTTAACATTGTACATACGAAGGCAATGTGTGTTTCAATACGTGTACACATATCAACTTGATCGACGGCCTGTTGACGTCCTGCCGTCGTATACTGAGTCGACAATGAACAGTTATGTGCTGTGACCCAAACAGTAGGGTATATATTATATAATGTAGCGTATGAGTTGAAGTGTGTGTTACGGAAACGGGCACGTCAAGCATAAAATTAATGTATTTCACACTCTCTCCGGGAGGTCGGGCAAAAGAGAAGAAAATCAATAGCATATTGAACTTGTTTTCTACAAGCTACAAGATTAACTCTTTTGACTTGTATTACCAACATCTGCAACATACCTTTATAATGTTTCACAACTTTAAGTACCTACTTTCCTGTTCTGATAAAGGCACAAGAACTTAAAATATATTGACGACTTATCAAACACGTTCGCCGAGTATAGAGGCTGTTGACAAGGCTTGTGTGACACTGTTTGGCTGCGTTATAGTAAACACGACTGAAAGACAACAGAAAGTTAACGCTCACCTTTGAAAGCTGATGTAAGTCGAGAACTTGTTAAAACAAAACTTCCCATCGGTGACATGTGTGTCTTGTCATGTATATCGTGTGTAAACTCCACGTAGTGTCTGAAGCATTTTCCCAAACCGACTGATCCGAAAGATACAAAAACAGCGACCCGTCATGCGTCGCTGATCGAAGCAATCGAAAACAGGCTCAGAGGGAATCGGATTGGTTGTCAATTGCAGATCGAATCCTTTCAAAGCAAACAATGAGCGGCTCGGCGTTCAGGACTAGTGAGGGGGAATACTTGGGTCAGCTCTGAAAGGACCACGAACAATAGTAGAAAGAAAATCTGTCCATTACACACCCAGTCCTTATACCATGCATTCGTTATATCTGGCAACATTCACACACCATGTCCCTATCGACTTGCCTGTCATTCCTATATATTATTAACAAGCATATGCGAGCCTCGTGTGGGCGTGCTCGATTCTGAGAGCGCGGTATTATATAACGGTATTAAAGGTTAAAGCGCTGGATTATTACAGAAGGGTTTCGGGTGCTTTGGTATGTAGTAACGTAAATAAAAATTACGTGACGGCGGGTTAGATTTGTATTTCCTTAATAGGGTTAATACAGGTTTATGTATGGATTTCCACTTTTTTTTATCTGTATGGGTAAAAAGGTTGACATCAATAATTCAATTCTGTCTTCATTCATAGTACAGCTTCTGAAATGTTACTTAAAGATCGGGTTAGAATAGGTCTTCAGCAGCCCATGCGTGCCCTAACAGGCGACTATGCTTGTCGTAAGAGGCGATCGGGTGGTCCAACTCGCTGACTTGGTTGATGCATGTCGTCGTATTCCAATTATTTGGATCGATGCTCATGATGTCAATCACTGGATTGTCTGGACCAGACAAGATGTAGCTTGAATATTGAGGGCGGCGTTAAACAACAAACAAACTTTAAAGAAAATTAATTGCGTCGTCACGGTCAAGCTCTGATAACACTGATACAAAACGTGAATTGCAAACGATGTTTTTAATAAATACTCCTGAATGCATTAGTGAGGCTCTATTGTAAACATACCCAAGGGTATGACAGACCACGTGACGCGCGCACACCCCGTATGGCTTAGGGCAGGGTATGGTATAAGCGTCTTTTGTTTCCAATACTATAGGGCTACAACCAACTTGAACAAACAGGCAAATTATATCAATATATTCACATTGTTAATCATTTTTCTTTACTCTAACTGAATCAATTACTGGTGATAATTGCAAAGCTAGAGACACGAAATAATATTAAAATATTAACTGTCGTACTTACAAATTTACCTTCTTTGTGATAGTTTTTATACAAGTGTTATGATATCTCCTTTCCATGGCTTCCAGTTGGTATACACACCGTTGTATATTATTAACGAAAGTACATATATGCAATAAATAGTATGTGTCATGATAGCTGATATATTCATCTCCCTACTAGTACTTACGTCGCCGTTATTGAACCTGTTAAATTCCAACATGGCGGTGCAGGTGATACTACTGTATTGCAGTACCTGTTTTTGTCATTATTCGCAAATGTAAGTTGCTGTTGAAAAGCCACAGTACGACACAGAATGACAGGCCACAAAACGACACAACATGACAGGCCACAGCATAACACAGCATGGTACACCACAACACGACACTGCATGACAGGCCACAACTAGACACAGCATGACAGGCCACAGCACTACACAGTATGACAAGCCACAACACGACACAGCATGGCACAGCATGACAGGCCGCAGCACGACACAGCATGACAAGCCACAACACGGCACAGAAGGACAGGCCAAAACACGACACATCACGACACAGCATGAAATGCCAAAACACGACACAGAATGACAGGCCACAAAACGACACAACATGACAGGCCAAAGCATAACACAGGATGGTACACCACAACACGACACAGCATGACAGGCCACAACAAGAAACAGCATGACATGCCGCAACACTACACAGCATGATACGCCACAACACGACACAGCATGACATGCCGCAACACGACACAGCATGATACGCGACAACACGACACAGCATGATACGCGACAACACGACATAGCAAGATACGCCACAACACGACACAGCATGGTACGCCGCAACACGACACAGCATGACATGCCACAACACGACACAGCATGATACGCGACAACACGACACAGCATGATACGCCGCAACACGACACAGCATGATACGCGACAACACGACACAGCATGACATGCCGCAACACGACACAGCATGATACGCGACAACACGACACAGCATGATACGCGACAACACGACATAGCATGATACGCGACAACACGACACAGCATGATACGCGACAACACGACACAGCATGACAGGCCACAACACGACACAGCATGATACGCGACAACACGACACAGCATGATAGGCCAAAACAAGAAACAGCATGACATGCCGCAACACGACACAGCATGATACGCCACAACACGACACAGCATGACATGACACAACACGACACAGCATGATACGCCACAACACGACACAGCATGATACGCCACAACACGACACAGCATGATACGCGACAACACGACACAGCATGATACGCGACAACACGACACAGCATGACAGACCACAACACGACACAGCATGATACGCCACAACACGACACAGCATGATACGCGACAACACGACACAGCATGATACGCGACAACACGACACAGCATGATACGCGACAACACGACACAGCATGACATGCCACAACACGACACAGCATGATACGCGACAACACGACACAGCATGACAGGCCACAACACGACACAGCATGATACGCCACAACACGACACAGCATGATGCGCAACAACACGACACAGCACGATACGCGACAACACGACACAGCATGAAAGGCCAAAACAAGAAACAGCATGACATGCCGCAACACGACACAGCATGATACGCCACAACACGACACAGCATGACATGACACAACACGACACAGCATGATACGCCACAACACGACACAGCATGATACGCCACAACACGACACAGCATGATACGCGACAACACGACACAGCATGATACGCGACAACACGACACAGCATGATACGCGACAACACGACACAGCATGACATGCCACAACACGACACAGCATGATACGCGACAACACGACACAGCATGACAGGCCACAACACGACACAGCATGATACGCCACAACACGACACAGCATGATGCGCCACAACACGACACAGCACGATACGCGACAACACGACACAGCATGAAAGGCCACAACACGACACAGCATGATACGCGACAACACGACACAGCATGACATGCCACAACACGACACAGCGTGATACGCCACAATACAACACTGCATGATACGCGACAACACGACACAGCATGACAGGCCACAACACGACACAGCATGACAGCCCAAAACACGACACAGCATGACAGGCCACAACACGACACAGCATGATACGCGACAAAACGACACAGCATGATACGCCACAACACGACACAGCATGATACGCCACAACACGACATAGCATGACAGGCCACAACACTACACAGCATGATACGCGACAACACGGCACAGCATGATACGCGACAACACGACACAGCATGATACGCGACAACACGACACAGCATGACAGGCCACAACACGACACAGCATCATACGCCAAAACACGACACAGCATGATACGCGACAACAAGACACAGCATGATACGCGACAACACAGCATGACATGCCGCAACATGACACAGCATGATACGCCACAACAAGAAACAGCATGACATGCCGCAACACGACACAGCATGATACGCCACAACACGAAACAGCATGACAGCCCAAAACACGACACAGCATGACAGGCCACAACACGACACACATGACAGGCCACAACACGACACAGCATGACAGGCCACAACACGACACGGCATGACAGGCCACAACACGAAACAGCATGACAAGCAACAACACGACACAGCATGACAGGCCACAACACGTCACAGCTTGAAATGCCAAAACACGACACAGCATGACAGGCCACAACACGAAACAGCTTGACAGCCCAAAACACGGCACAGCATGACAGGCCACAACACGACACAGCATGATACGCGACAACACGACACATCATGACAGGCCACAACACGACACAGCATGACATGCCGCAACACTACACAGCATGATACGCCACAACACGACACAGCATGACAGGCCACAACACGACACAACATGACAGGCCAAAGCATAACACAGCATGATACACCACAACACGACACAGCATGATACGCCACAACAAGAAACAGCATGACATGCCGGAACACTACACAGCATGATACGCCACAACACGACACAGCATGACATGCCGCAACACGACACAGCATGATACGCGACAACACGACACAGCATGATACGCGACAACACGACACAGCATGACAGGCCACAACACGACACAGAAAGACAGGCCACAACACTACACAGCATGACATGCCGCAACACGACACAGCATGATACGCCACAACACGACACAGCATGATACGCCACAACACGACACAGCATGATACGCCACAACACGACACAGCATGACAGGCAACAACACGACACAGCATGATACGCCACAACACGACACAGCATGATACGCGACAACACGACACAGTATGACAGGCCACAATACGACATAGCATGACATGCCACAACACGACACAGTATGACAAGCCACAACACGACACACAGAGCATAACCACCGTCCTAGTAAGTAACGGCCGACCTTGAGAGGGGATTTGTTTACATCCCTCACTCCGCAGCATCCCCATTTCAACCCGTTGTGAGGGTATAGACTGGGGTTTAAGCGTTGATATTGTCCCCCGCCGTGATGTTGCTGGAAGATGGCGAGAAGCGAAGTAAAACCCACCCATATACACCCAGGTAAAGCATGAACGCTATGTGTTTATAGAGGCGTCTGTTTGAGGGAGACAATTGAATGAGCGTGTGAATGTTACAATCAGCAATATTCCACTTGTTGATATTATGAGCAAAGACGGTTCCTGGGTATGGTGGCACGCAATCTACTCTGGTCACCGCACATCAATTTAGTCATCTCTAAACCATGCTCGAGTGTTGGAGACATATTCTTACCCGGTGTATAAGTACTTATAGTTCTAGTAATAATTATCCTAGGATATTATTTCCCAGGTGACAATGTCCTACCCGGACATTACATACTGATACATAATGCAATGTTATTCGTGGACATTGAGCTGTGACTGTCGTATGTCCACAACACCGGGTCCCCACGGGTCTAGAACAATACATGTGGGTTTTTTTTATGAATCTTGAGTGAGTTAGTGGGTGGGTGAGTGGATGGGTGAATTAGTTTTTTGTGGATGTTCGAGTTAGTG